GTGGGGGGGGGGGGGGGGGGGTAGAGGTGGAACGAGGGGGAAAAAGAGAGTAGAGGTTTATTACCTCCCGCATGAAGTTGCAAAGGGGACAAAAGTATGTGTGCTCCGCGTTAACGCACCGCGGTCAGAGAGTTAAACAGCCGGTGTGTACGGAGCCTTATAGAGAAACGGCGGAAACGGTCTCTCGGGACTCGGCCAATAATATCACCTCCGTACGCCCTTTGCTCTCATCTTCCTCTCCGGAGGCCCCCGACGTCACACGCACAATGCACTCTCGCTGCATCCGATGTGTCGCACTGCGAGACCATGGCTGCTTCCAGGGTGGGGGAGGCACTGTGCCTCCCCTCGCCCCCCTCCCTGGCTCTCCTCCTAAGCAATTCACACATTCCCACGTTCGTTTTGTAACGCATCGTCGGGAAAACATCGTCGAATTTACCCCGAAGATCATTTTCCACTCGGAGCTAACACGTTTTGGGACGTTCACGAAAATCGTTGATCTCGCACCGATTTCTCGGTGAGTTTCTCGCGGTTGTACGATCGATGTGTTTTTTTTTCGTGTTCGCGATAACTCTTGTGAATAAATGAAACTAAAACCACCGAGTCTCTCGGTCACGAGTCATTGAAACGCGCCGCAGATAGAATTGAACGGCGGCGTGACGTCAAATTAATGCGTCGTCGACTTCCGCTGATAAAGCATCAGTCGACTGCTCATTCTTGAGGTCTGAGCGGCTACGCACCGAGTCATCCTCCGTTCTCCGTTAATTCGAGGAAGGGAATGATAATTTTTTATTTCCCTCTGATGGTCAGTCCTCAACGCGCAGACGAATTGATCGCAGTTGCAGCGTTGCGATAAAACCGATTTTATAAATAGATACTTCCGTCACCCAGTGACTGTATCCTAGAGAGAAAGAGGGAGAAGCACTCCTGGTCTTGGCATAATAACGATGCATAATGATTATAGTAAGGACGATTGATTTGTGTCCGAGAGGCCCAAAGTCAAAACCTGTCGGTCCTGCCCACGCGAAACGGTCAGGTCCAAACTTTGATCCGTGTCCGTTTCGAAGGAGAATGGAGTAAAATTGTGTATGGTGGCTGACGGGGTCTGTTTTTTTTTAATGATGGTTTTTTTTTAATTTGTTGTAGATGAGCCAAGGTCACGGTGTAGATCCTGGGACGACGTAGGCTCGGCCAGGATGGAAACCGTGGGTCAGCCCCATCGGCATCCGCATCAGCATCCACCCCTCGAAGCAACCAGGTCGCTGCAATCTACGCAATCGGCGCGCAGCGAGGACTCCTGGTGTTCGGCTTCCGATCACGATCTCTCCTCGGACGACGAGAGCGAGAAGAGCAATATCAGTATTAAGTCAGTGTCGTCGCTTTGTTTTCTATCGACGAATACCTTTCGTTGGCGCTCGTGTTGCTTATGTATATCTTTTTTCGTATTTCAGAAGCAATCGCCAACTGCGCAACACTTTTCACAAGGCGCGCACGCTCTGCGACAAGTGGCGTTCTCAAAATATGAAGATCAACAGTGCCGAGCTGGACTCGCCAGGTCAGGGTAGGCTATCACGATGGTTCAGTATCCGGAGAGGTTCTGCGCATCACTATGACGTCGATTCCTCGGATACGGTGTCACTCACAAGTCCGGTCAAGCTGCCGCAGATGCCTCAGCTTTGCGAGGTACAGTTTGGTCTGAGCTTGCACCTCGTTTTTGTGCTGTCCTAGTATTGTCGTGCTGAAGAGAATATTATTTCCAGGTCGAGGAAGAGAATGGAGCCATGGTCCAGTTTCAGTGCATGCAGCAGCATCGACAGGCACCCCCGTCGCTACCACCGGCTCCGACTAATTTAACACCTCAGCAACTGAAACGCAGGCACATCGTTGCTGCTATCGTTCACTCAGAGAATAGCTACGTAGCTACCTTACAGAGGCTTGTCAATGTGAGTTCAAGCTTATCTTGTTAGTTATGGCACTTTGGATCGGGTGCGATTTCAGACAGTTTATATATTTATTGGGTCGAATTCGAAGTGCTTCGTTGACTTTGTTATTCTAAAAGGATTACAAGAAACCGCTGGAGGAGTCGACGCCTCCGATTCTAAGCCAATCGAAGATCGCCACCCTCTTTCATCGTCTTCCGGAGATTCTGCAGTGTCACACGTTGTTCAGAATCGCTTTGGCTGAATGTGTTCGATCTTGGGACAAGGATGAGAAACTCGGCGACGTCTTTGTCGCCAGCTTCAGTAAGGCCATTGTCCTGGATATCTACAGTGGCTTCATCAACAACTTCTCCGTGGCTATGGACCTCGCCAAACAAGAATCTAAGAGAAAGACTGCGCTCGCTGATTTCTTTAAGGTACGTCCGGCCTACATAACGCGAAGGAAGGAGATGAAAGTTTAATAATGTTATTCGTGAAAATCATTTGCTCAATCTTTTTATTGATTTTATAGGTAAAGCAAATCAGCGCTCACGACAGACTATCCTTCTTTGGACTGATGGTTAAACCTGTTCAGAGGTTTCCGCAATTTATACTCTTCCTTCAGGTAAGTCAGCCTATTTTTAAGGTCAACTAATGTTTTATACGACATTTTGGCAATCTTCGTTCTCTGTACTTGCGTCACTCAGTACTCTACTAAGATAAACTGGTAGCCTTGGTAAACCGACCCGGAGGAAGTAATATTCGGTAATCTTTTAAAATTTTTGACCAATCTCAGTGACCCAGTTTAAGTTTATCGATCGGGAGCGACTGTGAACGATCTGACAATTATGTGTTAACATAAATTTTCGTGCTTATCTTTTTTCCTGTTTGCGAAAGTTTACGCCCAAACACTCGAGGATCTTGCTACTTTTTTTTTTTCTCAATCGCGTGTCAAGGTATCAGCGAAACGATAAGGGACGGTCGACATTTTATTTCCTCAATAAGCATCACATATCGTGCTTTAATCTTTTTAAGATATTTTCCAAGTCAACATGTTGGTAATCCAAGATCTTTTTCTTGTAGGATCTGCTGAAGCATACTCCTCAAGGTCATCACGATAGAATGTCACTCCAGCTGGCCCTGACGCAACTCGAGAGCCTCGCAGAGATGCTGAACGAACGAAAACGCGAAGCCGAACAGTTTCAGGCGTTCAAGGAGATGCTGCGCCATGTATCCGGCAAACTATCCCACCGTCCTTTGTCATCCTCATCGCACTACCTCATCCGCTCGGATAACGTGACGCAACTGGAGTTCAATCAGAATGGAATGATAACGAAATCGAAAAGACGCAGATTATTACTCTTGAATGATCTCGTTGTTTGTATATCCGTTGCTCCAAGGTCATCCGAAGATTTCTCAAGCAGCGAGAGGCTCAGCCTCAAGTGGTCGTTTCCTGTTTCTGACATAGAGATACAGGATACCAGCACGAGTCCTACCTTAAGCAGACTCCTGACAGCAGGACTGAATAAGGGCGGTAGCTTGAAGTCGGATCGCAGTGGCGAAGGTGGCCAAGCTGGTGCGGATAACTTGTGCGTGGAGATGAGCGACTTGATGCACGATTATGAAGTCGTCTCAAGGATTAACGACCTAGTGGCTCAACTGAAAGGCTCCTACGATCATCTTACTATTGACAATACCAAACAAATTCTACAGAGCATTCAGTCCTCTATACAGAGGAAGGACGAGGACATGATTTGGGCTGATAGCTGCTGCCTGCAGCTGATGACCAAACAGGGACAAATGTACACATTTCAAACTGAGAATCCTCTGGTTAAGAAAGACTGGATTACGGAATTGAGACTCGCGCAACTCGCACTGGATCCTAATAATTCACCAGCTTGGGAGATTCCTGAGCAGGAGCAGAGACCGTCAACGAAGATGCCTTTGTTCGTCAGTTCACAGCCCGTTTATCATTCGCAGCATCAATCGGAAGTGAGTATACGAAAACAAGATAGTGTGTTTAATATTACGTGTCTTGGCTGTTATTAAACGATGATCGATTTGTTTAGGTACGCTGCGGTTGTTATTATACAACGCAGAATCCAAGACCGACAAGACGACGAGGACGTACGCAGAGTTACTTATGGATTTGTACGGGTGATGGTGTATCCAGTCACGTGACAGTTTTCGGCCAATCCACAACGGCCTCGACGACTTCGTTAAAACAAATCACGGCCTTTGACCTGGTGGAGACTAGAGTCGCAGCCATAGAATACGTGAAGGGACTTGGAACGGACTATGGCGATCTCGTATGGATGGGCACGGACTCTCGGAAGATAATGATCTACGCTGCCTCAGAACCGGAAAAACAGGAGGAACTGGGCAGCTACCCCGTACCTGGTCCTGTGGTGCAGATAAAGCATCATTGCGACAACGTATTCGTTGCTCTCGGTACCGGGTCGTTACTCATGTTCAAAAGACAGTTCGACGGATCTTGGCTACTTCGTGATCCTTCTGTAATATCACTAGGAACTGATCCAGTGTCCTGTCTAATGCCTATAAATAGTTCGGTGTATGCAGCTTGTGGGAAAAAGGTATGGGTATTAAATGCAGGGACAGGTGAAGTCACTAAGAGCTTCAGTGCCCAGCACGAGCACGTCGGTAATGTTAAACTAATGGCACATTCTGGGGTTGGACTCTGGGTATCCTTAAAGAATTCCAGTACAGTCTGCTTGTATCATACTGAAACCTTCAAGCACCTTCAGGACATTAATATAGCATCGACTGTTCTCCGGGTAACGAAAGCAGGCGGGGCTGCCTCTTGTGGCGATAATTTGAATAATAATCAGTCTGCCGTTACGGTTACGGCTCTTATGGCTTGCAAAGGCTTACTTTGGGTTGGCACAAACGTTGGAATCAGTCTGACGATTCCTTTACCGCGACTAGAGGGTGTTCCAATTATTAGTGGGAGGGTCAACATATCCTACCATGCACACTTTGGTCCTATTACCTTCCTGCTGGCTGTACAAACTAACAAGAGTTCGCCCTGTACCAAGGAAGAGGAAGATGACACTTCGCAGAGAAATAAGGATCTTGACACTGGACAGCGTAGGGATCGAAGCAGCTTGGATTCTTCCCTGTCAAGTAATATGCTTAAGCTTCGGCAGCAGCTTGCAGCCAGTCCAGTATTGTTACGCAGAAAACGTAGCAAAGAGAACGAGTACCGAGGATCAAAAACTTTACCCAGAGGATTAGGCTGTGGAGGTGGTCTACTTTCTAGTTCCATATCTAGCTCGCAAAGTTCTGGAGAGAATTGTGACGTGTATGGACTCTATGGTGAACTGATGTATGTCAAAGACTATGAAAATGAAAATGGATCTGGCATCGATCCCATTTATGAGACCCTCCGAAGGAGTGATCCAGAACTCGCAGCCATTCCTAACAAAGTCAGTACTTTGGATCGAAGACTCAAAATGAAAATCACTAGACCCAGGTCCCTGGATTTATCCAACTGGTCTGTGGATTCGCATGCAAGCTCATTGTACACCTCTTCTGGGTCTGAGGAGAATCTCTCACTGAAGGCTGGAAAGCTCTCGAGGAATAGTAGCAGTGCTAGTCGCACAGGACCCTATGAACAGAATGTGACTGCTGTCCAAGAGCCACAGTCTAAGAACAAAGCATCCGCTAAGAAGACTCAAAAACAACAGCAACAAGATCAATCTAAGAAAACAGTTCTTACTCTCATGGGTGGACGTGGTTATATTAATTGGCGGCAATTAAACTCTCAGGCTCTACCAGACAAGAGTCCCAAATCCATCTACTCGTTCAAAGATCCTAATAGCAACGACGCGCACATTGTCCTCTGGGAGATGAAATTATGATACCCAGTACTACTAGGATCTTTGGACCGATCCTCTAGTTCCCTTCTCTAGGACCAAATACTGTACGGACTGATATTCTAAGAACCGTCTTTGGTGCTCGCTACGCCCACGTCTATGTAAATAATACATAGAGTATCAAATCCTTGAAATATCGTAGAGGATCTTCCTTGAGGATATTTTTTTCCCCAAGACAATAATCTTCAGTGTGGAAATCTTCCTTGATGTTGCTCAACGATTTTATCCTTAGGAATTTCGTGAGCTTCTGGTTGCTATTATTATACCTTTCAATACTAGGCGACAACATACATCTGTTTACGTTTTAGCTCGCCTAGGGAAGACTTAGACTTGCGATTAGAGTCTCTTAGAGGTAGCACTAGGGCACGAGTCTCATGAAGCATACGACGATCTGGGCTAAGATTCCTAGCATTAGAAGCTTAAACTTCTATTTACATATGACAACGCTTTTTCAACGCACAAAAAGGTGTGGCTCATTGCGCCTGATATTTTAGCAAGAAGTGATTAACTTTTACTTTGCTTTTTTTTTTGTTCCTCTACTTTACTATTTGATCTGTTCTAACGAATCTCATGATTTCTCAAGCGTTTCTTTTATACGATCTTGTATGGCCCACGATGCTTCGTTAGACCTATTCGCGAATTCTTTATCATATAATTAATATTGATATTAATTACCGTGCATTTAAAATTCATACCGTTACATACTTTCACGTAGTCATGCCGCTAACCTGAAGATGACTAGTAAAAGTTTATCTAAGAATTGCATGTAAATTTTAAAAAAATATATGAAAGTTCAGTTAAGTACACTCAAACATACAAGTATATTGCACTTATAAAGAAGAAGAAAAGCTAATTACTCTACGAAGTATCGTGTCGTCAAATGATCGGCCTTGATTAATTAGCTTAGAAAGATTGGCACCACATATGTCGGTTCCACATTGTTATCAGGTGAATATGTACAAATGTATTCCTTGTAATTTATAAGAGCCAAGAACAATCTCCTTTAACATATATTCATCTCAAGCAGCCAGTTGCGTGAGACGATGCACAAAAGTGCATTTGATTTGAGTTTTTCTTTTTTAACGCGAATCGTTTAAAATTAACTTTAATCGACATAACACGTCGGGATGATGTTAAAGTGTTTTTGACCATGTTATAAAATGTTTTCTATATACTGTTTTACATTTTATAACTGTTGCATGAGGGGGGGAGAGAGAGAGAGCGAAAGTGAAAGAGAGAAAGTAGAAGAAAAGAAAGACAGCGTGGCACCTTGAGCGGAGTTAAACTATTCTGTATTGTGATAAGTAACAAGGAGTTTATGTCAGTTACCCAGTGACGGAGAGCATATTATTGTATTTTTGCGTAGAAAGATTGAACAAGCGACTACGTTAAGTTTGTACTAAGGTCTGTGCCCCGATTTCTTGGAGTTCTGGTACATGCACTCGTAGTGTACATAAATTAGAGAGAAATGGCCATTTTTTTTTGTAAGCCACTGCAGCCACAACCCAATTTATACTTTGTACACTCTTGTTTAGACGACAAGCCGTACGATGATAGTTTTGTATTTATATGTTTCCATACGTATTGCAGATACAACATAGTTCAGCTATTATGACGCGCCGTAATACTTCATTATGTATATTTATTATTTAAATAAATTTAGAGTTATCTCATCGTACGACATTACACCCTATTCGAGAGTTTCACATATACGTATGTATAGCAACGAGATTTCGTATTCTTTACAGGATTGTGATTAATCTTTTGGCTGGTTATAAATGAAAATACCTTTTTTTTTCAATTAGAATCTAGACAAAATTTATTTTCGATCGTTTATTACTTATGAAAGTACATGTACGGGGTTAGATCGAAGTATTTTCTTCGGGGCTTCATTTTTGTTTTAGCTGGCCTCACGTTTTTGCTGAAAAGAAATTTATTTTTTTGCCTTAGACACGACATTTACGACTCGTAGTATTTATACAGACACTTTGGCTATGCTCAGTTGGTAGTGCATGTTACAAATAATCATGGAGTCATTAAAAATCGGTAAATTGTGTCATCATTCCAAAAAATCGTTCATATTAGCCTTAACTTTGATATTTAGTTTATGTAAAACTTACTGAATATTTTTCTTTTTCGTTTACTGAACACTAGACTGTCAGTCGTTTGCGCCATCCATTTTGTGTACCTGTAGACATTAATTTCTTTTTTTTTACAAACGAACAGAGCTACTTTGTTTTATCGTTTATTCATTGAAAACAATCAGTTGGTAGTGCATGTATGAATTAATCATGAATTCAGTATATTCGGTAAATTTGTCATCATTCTGTGATTATTTTTTGCGAATTAGGAAAGATATTTGTTTGCCTAGTTGGCCACGTGTTGACTTCTTTCAATTTGAAGATTAGTCAAAAATAAAAAAATATTGCAAACTATGAGTGCAGAATAAAGAGTAAATGAAAAACCATTGATTCGTTAATATTTAACATAGTCGGAAATATACGATGTTTATCGATGATGTTTCAAACATTCAGGATGTATAAAACGAATCCCGATTTCTACACGTTGAAATAAGAAAACTTGCTTACCCAAATTATAAAAGTTCCAAAGATCATCCATGATCATTGAAAAATTTGATTACACAATTCATTTTTAGAGTGAATTTGGATACGACTTTCCACATTCTTCAATTATTTTTCACTAGATCACATAGATGTTCACCCTCTGTCAGCTTCGCCAGGAATGAGGACGTACGGCCATTCCTTCCCTTCAGAATTCCTTCCTGCCCTTCCTTATGGCTGTATCCCCAATGGCGGACATGTTCCAGTCCCCTTAAGAATTCTGGATCATCATTGGTCCAATGTAGGAAGTAATAATTTCAAAAGTAAGGAAACTCGCATGCTAGAACTGCATCCGTCTGATGTGTTTGTCCCATCGACGGTTTGTCCAAAGCAGAATCAGGCAGGCATAAAACCAAGGATATGTAAGATCATATTCTCTCTCGTAGAACCCAGAGATGAGAAGGGAGATCCACAACACTACGGTTTTAGGCGATACCAAAAGCATGGCGCTGAATCCCAGCGGCGAGTCCGGAAGTAGAGTTACGTGATCATAGTCTCCGTCGATAATGCGGATCCCGTCGTGGCCGAACTAACCGCGATCACGAACGTGTAGCTTGCCGGGCAGAGTCCTCCGCTACTTATCGCTGGTTCCCAAAGCAACACTTAGAACAAGACAGCTCATCGGATATAGCCTAAATACTTGTTTTCTTTGCAATCCTAAATTCGATCGCACAGTGTAAGCTCGGTAAGTTTAATATGACAGAAGCAAGCAACTCGTGTCTGCCTGCACTGAAGCGTATGATGCCACCAGCATATTTAATACATATTTTACCGATGTTGCGTAGCAGAACGATTGTTAAAACCTATCAGGAACTGTAGAACTCCTCGAGAACTATTGAAAAAGCCTATTTTAAAGAGATTTTTAAAAAAAGTGCGGTGCTGGAGCTTACACCCGCGTAACACTTCAAGTACTCAAGTACTTCTCTCTGGTACTCAATGTTGGAGCCATAGTTCCGCCTGGAACTATTGTTAAATATAGCTTTTTTGGAAAAATTCGAAAAAAATTGTGTCTAGACTGTACCTGCTACGCACTTATATTGCATTTATAAAAAAACTGTGAAGGTACAAACGTGGCCCTATGGCAATTTGATCTGTGCCAGCCTCTTCTATAGACCATTCTGAGTTTCTGCATTAAGAGATCTTTAAAAATTTCAACGAGAAAGCCGTAGATCCAGCCGTTAACGAGCTTAACTGCTCTTCGACCCTACGAAGCGCCATTCCTGGGACCCACGCTGTGTTAGCATCGCCATATCAGCTCCGTCCGAGCGCCCAGCACTCCGCAAGAAAGCTGGGCTGAAGCGTCGGGAAAACTTTCTAACAATACCAGACTGGTTAGTGGATTTTCAAGTATAGAGATATAAGTTCTCTGGCTGACGAGCGACTCTATTTATTCCATCGAGGAAACTTCCGCGTGGCGACTAACCACTCACGCCATTGGACGACGACGGAGTGCCATCCGGTACCTGCCAATTTTACCTATTTTACCAATTTCCACCATTTCACCACAGTTCACTCAGTCGAGAAAAGGGCAAGATTCTCAAGTGGCGCAAGTTCAGCTCGGAGCGGAGGACGTGTGCGGTGACCGCGTACCGTCGATTCGAGAGGGTCAACGGGAGCAGAACGTATAAAGATGATGACGTGTACTGCGGTACTATGGAACTATAACCGACCCTGTGTTCTTCTCTCGTCGGTACGCTATAAACGCGGAATTGGCAAAATCCAGAAAACTCGCGTGGACGAGGAAAAAGTATTTAGTACACAGCGGAATCTGCGGATGATCACTCGGAAACAAGAATAGCCGGAAATATAGTCAGACACTACCGCGCAGTATGGGAACACTTTCGGAATTCATCGCCAAAATCTCACACAAATATAAGTCGGATCTATGCTATACTTCCGGTATCCGCTGAGTATAGCAAATTTATGGCTTTCAGCATGGCCGCTTACGTAAATGTTTATGGCGAGTAAAAAAAAAAAGGAAAAAAGAAAAAGATTCCGAATGCATCACCAAAATCTCACACAAATATAAGTCGGATCTATGCTATACTTCCGGTATCCGCTGAGTATAGCAAATTTATGGCTTTCAGCATGGCCGCTTACGTAAATGTTTATGGCGAGTAAAAAAAAAAAGGAAAAAAGAAAAAGATCACTTACCCCAGGATGACCCCCTCCCCGCTCCAGCACACCTTGGCAAAAGTGATGCCCTCCTACGACATGTTTGTCAATTACGACTCGTACAGGGTTCGTCAACGATGCTCTGGAGTGAAGATGCAGGCTGATCGGTGCACGGCAATTCTTCGCATTTCAGGATATCGTTGACGCACCCTGTAATGCTCCTAAAGCCTACGTTTCATTAGCACAGCAGGG